CATGGAGAGTCTAGTCCCTCCATACTGACAAAGCTAAAGCTGAAAGGTTGTCACACCTTCGGTCTCCCGCAGGTAAGCACAAGTGATGGAGGAGCTTTGGAATGATGGAAGTCTCCCAGGTCACCCCGGAATCTGCTGCCATTCCTTTTACCATCAGACTCACTAGGCTTCCAGCTCTAAGTAGAGACCACGGCAGAGAGGGTCCTGCTGCCACTCAAGGCACGGGGCAGCTGCTGTTTCTGCGGAAGACTTAGGACTCAGGAGGTCACATGTTTCTGAAGGGGCTATGGGAGCACAGAGGGCTTCCTGGTCAGCGGCAGAGACGGCAACGCTGCAGATCTGGGGAGCATCTGGGGAAATCGTTAGTTGCAGAGACTCATGGGCTGGGAGGGAGAGGGTGCATCCACCTGAATGGGTGTTTCCACAAGGCTTGTTCTCCGGATCCCTGGGTGTGGCACACTTGAGTTCTGGAGCAAGAAAACAATGGCTAGCCCTCGTATTGACAGATTTCTTCAGTAATTCTCAGGATCAATGATTAAAAACAAGACAACAGCAACCACAAAACAAAAAGAAAAATAAACAAAACAAACTGCACACATACAGGGACATAATAAAAGTTAATGCCTCTAAAGCTAAACAATAACTGGTAAGATCTCAATGAGTAAAAAAAGTTACACAAAAGAGAAAAACTGAATCAGACTAGCAGTAGTCAGGGGTGCCAGATAAAATACAGAACACAAGTTATTTTTAAATTTCCAAAGAATAATATATATTATATATTTTTATTAGGTTGGTGCAAAATAATTGCAGTTTTTGTCATTAAAAGGAATGGCAAAAACCGCACTCACTTTTGCACCAACCAATATATAAAAATATGTATTATGTATCTATAATGGGCATGCATTATATATCTCAGATACTGAGATATATATTATATATGTATCTCAGATATTGTACAGGATATACTTAAAGGATATTACTTGTTTGTTTGTTCCATAAAAATAACTTTGAAAGTTGAATGATAGAACTTGAACAAATCCGATATCCATCAAAGTGAAATTTAAAATTAAAACATGATTTCGTGAAATAAGTTGAAGACAAACATTAAATAAAATTTCATATGGTATGAAATGGCATAATGAAGGGGGCATACCAAACACTAACCATTGTAGTCCAAAGAAAATAGCAGTTCAATTTTCAAAGCAAAGATGGTTCTAAATTTGGGAGAACTTTATAATTTATAATCTTGGTAGATGATAATCATACATCTCTTCTAGAATATAGCTGATATAATAAAGCAAACATTAGTAAGAATATAGAGAAACAAAAACATATAATAAACACATTTGGTTTAACAAATGTCTGTGAAATGATATAGCCTATACGTAACTAAAATCAATATTTATGTCCATGGAGAAGTTCCAACATTTTTTCAAGGACTGACAAAGTAATTTTGAAATGCTGGAGATTACCTTTTTTAAAAATCTAATAAAAATACCAATTAATAATAATAACTATAAACCTTTAGCGTCTGTGAAGTTACTCAAGTCTCTCTAAGATATCCTTACATCAAAAGACGCAATTGTAACTTGCATAGAATTCAATGAAAACCAGAGTACCACTTACTAAAATGATGCTTAGTTATCAATGGTTGTGCAGTTTAATAAAAAGGAAAATTTTCCTACCATTGTATCATATTTGAACAACATCACCAGAATAAACCAAATGGCACACAAACTATAAAATAATAAGAAAAAAGTTTAAATTAATAAAGTAAGAAACGAAAAGTAGAAATAATAAGTAAGTATAAACCCTGGTTCTTTGTAAAAATGAAACAAAAAAGGTATTGAGCACAGTAATGCAAAAACAGAAAATATAATTAGAAATGAGGAAAACATAAACATAATATAACCATAGATATGGAAGAGATGAAGTATTATAGGCTAGTAACACGTGCAACTGTAGCATTATACCATCTAATTCAGAAGCCTGGACAAATAGCTTGATTTTCTACACAGAATATGTATTATCAACGTTGATTCAAAATTTAATAGAACATTTGAATTAATCACTGAAAGTACCACTGAAATTTTTGGAAAGGTGATTAAGGAGATATCATTAAAGAGAGATTCATTTTGTTACTGACGTACAACTTAGGAGTGGATTGTTTTATATGCTGGGATGTTGGACAGCTCCCTGGTTCATTTTATGGTGGCAAAACCTAACTATGGGAACAAGATAAAGTCAAAAACAAGTCAAACCAAACTAAACCCAAACAGACAAAGAAGTACCCAGAGATGATTTCCCTTGTCCACCGGATTCCAGAGCTCCTCCACCACTGATGTCCTCGGACGAATATTCAACGTGAGCCACATCACCCACCCCAAGGCATCTGTTCATGTTTCTCTTTGGGGTGAGCTCTATCCTTTTTTTTTCCTTCAATTCCCTAACCATTCACCCAAACAACTGCAGTCTTCCAGCAAAGGGGGCTTGTCTCCCTCGGGAGAAACTGGAGAACAGCTTCACTGGCAAGGGAGACATGGGAGGGAATTCGGAACACACGTGTCTAAAAATCATCTGAATTTTCCCAACAGCTCCACTCTGAAGCTCGGCAGCCCACTACCTCTCAAACAGTGTCGTCACGTGTACATGACATCCTCGAGACCCTGGGGGTTCAATTTACATCGCAATTTTGTGAAAACACAATTAGATTTAGAGTCTTGTTTATATCCATATAAAAACTCTATAGTTAAAGAAGTAAGAAATCCCTTTGGCTCCTCTGTAGAGACTCCGGTCTGACTGTACTTTGGGCTGAGAGTTCAAGTTTCTCATTTTCCATGTCTATTTGTCCAGTGCAGTTGGACGCAAGCGTTCCCTCCACAGACCTGAGTTAGAAACACTCTGCACCCCTAGGGTCCCTTCATGGGCCACTCTGAGGGAGCAACCGCAAGGAAAGCTACGTGGTCATGAGGCCACTGAGCCAGGCATTACGCACTACCATGGAGTGGCAAACAAGGGCCCCAGGCACAGTCCTGAGACCATTACTGCCACAAATCACTGCACCTGAAAGCATCCCATCAGGAGAAGCGAGCCACTCTCGGTTCCACACAGGGGACGTGTAACATAGGGCCCGGGTGATACGCTGGGGGAACTAGGAAAGTGGAAAGGGAAAAGGGAGAGGTTGAGGAGCAAAAGGGAGACATGGAAAGATAAGAGATTGTGTATTCATGGAGATACAGGGAAGAGGACAAGATATTTCAAAGCCTAAAGCAGCAGACCTGGAAATAAACAAGACTGGGATTCAGGCACAGCTACACACCTGCTTTGACAGAGGTCTTGCTCCAGCAAAGGCTGAGACCAGCGTTCAACCTGACTCCACTTACCATGAGCAACAGAAACACTGAGCTACACAGAGCCAGAGCACGGAGGCATCAGGAGTCTGTGTGTACAATGAGGAGGGAGAAGGCCCCTGGGCTGCTCAGGGAGTCCTAGTTTCTGAATGAAAATGAAGCCACTTTGTGTCTCTCCCACCCTCTCTCCCTTTCTCTGCCTCTGTGTCTGTTTCTCTCCTTCTCTAACTCCCCACCTTCCCTGTTTCTCTTGCTTTCTGCTGTTCTCTCTCTTCCCCCCACTGTCTATCTCTGCCGCTGTCTCCTCTCCTGCCTTTCTCCCTTTCTCTATTTCTGTTTTGTCTCTCGTCTCTCTCTCTCTCTTTTCTGTGTCTTTCTCGTGGTTTCTCTCTGTACATTCCTATCTCTCTAGATGTAGCTCTGGCTCTACACCTCTCTGTGAGCTAGTAACAAGATGCAGCAGCTAAAGTTATTTTCTCAAGTATATATTAGTCTCTGTAAAAAACATTATTTTTTCTCTCACAGTATTGTACATGTCAATGTGATTTTATTAAAACCTATTCCACCCTTTGATTTATAAAGCCTTTTCCCCCAAACTCTATTATTTATAATTCACATGATGGTATAAATCATTTTGTAGGTCAAATAAGTTTGGGACCTGACTTCATAATCTTTACTGCCCTGATAATATATAATAAGCTCAGTGGGAACTATTTTAAACTCAAATGGAATTTCTGTCAGCTAATTCCTGAGATTTTTAATCTGACTTATAAATTGTCAAGTCTCAACAAGTATCAGTCACAAAAATATGTATAAAGGACATGAAGAAAATTATTTCAGTGGTAATACCAGTTAATTTGTCAATTATCACATCATGATAGAAAATAATGTATTTCATTAAATTTTCTTAGGTGTTGATTATTTCTTGTGGATCAGAAATGATATTTTGCTTGAAAATAAATCACACTGCATTGTATAAAATTGGCAGAAAGTTAACCATTTTTGCTGTTCTGTACATATTTTAAACAAGACATTTTCTTTCTACAAAATCAAAAGATGGACTTTTTGGGCTAGAACTTTCAAGTATGATGTCTTGTGTTGACATAGAGAAATCTTATTTTAAGAACTGATTATATGAGGCAGCACCAACACATGCTAATTATTTATCAGCCTGACTAACGGTTATGCTTTTAAGCTACTGAGACTGTGTCATTGTGCTTGCAAATACTATTTTAGCTGCAGCAGTTGGTTTCTGGTGGAATTGTATCAGCGATTTACTCCAAATAAATTTAAATGCATCAATTTCAAATGCAAACAGGACAATGTTACATCAGATGACCTAAATGGAAAGGACTAAAATGATGACACAGAGGGATAGTCCAAGGTGGACCAGACACCAAAGACCCTGAGACGGACAGCAGGACAGAGGGGAGTCCTCTTGGGCACAGGCTACCTAGTAACAGAGACCTACCCCCAGGTTCACGACATACGCGGGGCAATCCCTGGACAAGACATGGGCATCGATGTAGAATCAGAATCAGAATAAATGATTACAGCTTCAGACTAAGAGGGAGTAGCCCTTTTAAATAGCAGATGAAGACGATGAGAAGCCATTTGTTCACCTGTCTGTCACACACATTGAAAACTTACCCGGACTTCATAACACAGAATGGAAATCTGGGGGTGTCTGTGCCACGCCCTTGACACTCCGAGGTGAACAAGCCCACGGCTATGAACACAACAAGAATTGTAATATCACCACAGGGTGGAGAGCTGAGTCCACCGTGGCCCTGGCTGTGGGCTGCAGCTCTGAAATTCTCAAGGAAGGTGGTCTGGGTCACTCTGCTGTCGTTGAAGAGGTTGGAACTGCATTACCTGCAAGAAAACAAGAATTACAACGTTCTCCTCATTGTCTGTGAAGTGAGTAGGAAATACAGAGGAGAAAAGCAAGAAGAATCTCTCCTATTAAGTCTTAAAAAAATAGGACAGGCCGGGCGCGGTGGCTCAAGCCTGTAATCCCAGCACTTTGGGAGGCCGAGGTGGGCAGATCACGAGGTCAGGAGTTCGAGACCATCCTGGCTAACACAGTGAAACCCCGTCTCTACTAAAAACACAAAAAAAACTAGCCGGGCAAGGTGGCGGCGCCTGTAGTCCCAGCTACTCCGGAGGCTGAGGCAGGAGAATGGCGGGAACCCAGGGGGCGGAGCTTGCAGTGAGCCAAGATGGCGCCGCTCACTCCAGCCTGGGCGACAGAGCGAGACTCCGTCTCAAAAAAAAAGGACAGCCTGTCAAATGGGCAGGGCCATGACTGGAGAAAGAAAGAACTATTGGCACGGGGGACCCTGATGTCTCCCACACACCTGCTGAACTGGTGGTGCCTCCCCCGGAGCCATCCCTCACAGCTTCCCGAGGTGGGGCCATAGTGGGTGAGCCTGACACAGGTTCCCAACGACACAAGACACAAACAGCGTGAGGAACACCAGGAAATAATTATCCTCCCAAATAAAGTAATCATGAGTGAGAAACCAAAATAAGCATCTTCATATGTTCAAAAAGATTAAAAAAAACAGTAAAGCAAAATCAAAAGTGTTTAAAATTATTAGAGAAATGACTTTTGAAATGAGAAATAAAATCATTGAAGTTAATAGCTCAATGGATGATTTGAAGTAGGAACCAAAAAAGCCAAATAAAGCACTGGTGATTCATTAAATAGAGCAGAAAAAAATACAGACGAGAAAAAATATGGAAAATATTGAAATGATCTTAAGGCATAGAAATAATAGAACAAGAAAATCCAATATACGTCATAAAAATTAATGGAAGATTTCGGGAAAATGTAATATTCCAAGGTACACTTCATGGCAGTTATTCAGATATGAAGAAAGGAAATACGCCCTCATATTAAAATTTTACAAAGTGTTTTTAAAAGGTGTTTTACAAAAACATCTACTCCTGAAGATATTGCAGTAACATTACTGAGTATTAAAAAAAAAAAAAAAAATCTTCATAGCCACAGAAAAATCAACCAGCCAACCAAACACAATCTAAAACAGAAGAAAAGTTGGAGGACAGCAGATTTCTCATCAGAGCATGATCTAACAGTCCTCCTCCTTTCCCCCGTGTTTTTTTTTTTGTTTGTTTGTTTGTTTTTTTTTTTGAGACGGAGTCTCGCTCTGTCGCCCAGGCTGGAGTGAGTGGCCTGATCGCGACTCACTGCAAGCTCCGCCCCCCGGGTTCCCGCCATTCTCCTGCCTCAGCCTCCCGAGTAGCTGGGACCACAGGCGCCGCCCCCACGCCCGGCTAGTTTTTGTATTTTTAGTAGAGACGAGGTTTCACCATGTTAGCCAGGATGGTCTCGATCTCCTGACCTCGTGATCCGCCCGCCTCGGCCTCCCAAAGTGCTGGGATTACAGGCTTGAGCCACCGCGCCCGGCCCCTCCATGGAGATTAGTGATGATGGTTGGAGACTGCATTACCTTTTGAACTGTGACTTTCCACTAAAATCACAAAGGAAAATGTAGAAAGGAAAACTTGTGACTGAGGAAACCAACCACAAAGATGATTTACATGCAGTAGGCTTTTAGAAAATATAGCACGAGTTCATGATGTCTAAACTCTCCGCTAGCCTTAGAGTGTAACTCCCTCTCCACCTTCGGCCCAGCATTCGGGGTCCTTCCCAGGGGTTTCATAGCTCCGCCCTCTCCTCCATCACCAGGAGGTGCCCTGCTCGTGCATCCTGACCTCAGCAGACAGAAAATCTCTCTCGACTTCCCCAACTCTTCCTGTGCCATCCACACAATCTTGCCTTCAATTTTTATTTATTTTTTATTTTTTTTTTAGGAGGTAGGGTCTTGCTCTGTTGCCCAGGCCAGAGTGCAGTGGTGTGAACAGGGCTTACTGCAGCCTTGATCTCCTGAAGTTCAAGCCATACTCCCACCTCAGCCTCCATAGTAGCTGGGACTACAGGTACATGCCACCACACCCAGCTAATTTTTATATTTTTTGTAGACACGGGTTTTTGTCGTGTTGCCCAGGCTGGTCTTGAACTCCTGGGCTCAAGCAATCTGCCCACCTCAGCCTCCCAAATTGCTGGGATGACAGGCGTGAGCCACCATGCCCGGCCTCTCCTGGATTTAAATCAAATGACGCACAGAAACCTTTGTATAGTCCACAGCAGGCCACAGGTGTTTGCTATCACTGACATTGTGCCTTAGGTCACAAGATTTTGCTAGATAATCGTATGTTTTCTTTAAACTTTATTCTGCTGATGAATACTAGTAGTCATCTTTCTACTCCCCCCAAAATTAAGTTTTTTGAGTTAAAAAAAAACTAAAAGAAACAAAGAAACATTTTTTACTCTCATCCATTTTCAAGAACTCATTCTACATTTTCCAGACACACCAAGAAAGCACTTGAAAATGTAATGCACTTAATTTTCAAACTCATGTATTTGATGTATGAAGCTTTACTGTAACAATGGAATTTTCATTTTTCTAATCCTCTTTATTTTAATCCAGACATGAAGATTTTAGAAGACGTTCTGCCTGTGTTGAGGCTTACGCAGAAACCACCCAGCAAGCAGGACCCTGGCCAGATGTTCTTGTTTGACTGGTTTCTGACTAAACACTGATTTGCTTCTTCAGTATCTTCTGTCTGAATAAAGGAACATTTAGAGTCTGACTCAATGTGTTACTCATAAATCCTAAAATCTCTAACTTAAAAAAATATATTTAGGATGGATCTTCATTTAGCCCACTTTTTAAAACCTCATAAACCTCATTTATTTTTCTTATTTTGCATTTTAAATAGGCAATAAGTGTATGATTCTAATTAAAAAGGTAAATTCTGCCATATACAAATAATTCTTAGAAGCTGAAATTCTCCAAATGCACTTTTCTTCTTGTAAGAAAAATATAACGAATACTGAATTCCTCAAGATGACTTTGCCACGTACAACAGTCTTTGAATGTGAGAAAGCAGAATATGTGTGAGATGATGGGTGTGTAATTTGGGTTCAAATGTGGCGTTTATCAATCTGTTTTATGTTGATTTGTCTCGTGTCAATTCTGGACTTTTCTCATTTCAATTCTGGCTATTCTGATGTCTTTTCTGACCACTGTGTATTCAAAATGCTTATGCACAGCTACTGTGGACATCTAAAGCTTTGGGCACTTTAGACAAGAAAGTATCAAATAGGCTTTGGTGAAGAAAGAACAAAGATTATATTAAATTATTTCTCTGGAATAGGTTGTTTTAAACTATGAACTTTGCAATTGGCTCATGTATTTTAGAAGCACGGATACATATACACAAGGCCCCTTCATATATATACACACACACACATATATGTGTGCATATACATATATACACACACATATATATAATACATATATAACTATTTTATCATTTTTGTTTATATAATTAAAAGCTATAAAGTAATGGTTACAGCTGTTTGTATCTGTTGCATATTCATCATAATGGGCCAATAAATAATAATGTTAATTCAACATTTTGGACTTACACTGTAATGAGAAATAACATTTAGTTCATATGAAAATCAAAGTGACATTTTCAAAGAGAAAGTCATTTGAGGTTTTTATAATTTGGAATCATCAAATTAAATAATGTAAATATTTCTGATCCTGAGTGAAAAATACCTATTTTTACATATTTTTATTTATTAAAATATCTTATGATTTTTTGTTATTTATTACATAAAATAGTTGATGTTTCCTTTATGACACGACATAGTGAACATTACTAAAGAATAAGGATGCTTCGATTAGAAGCTGTCAATGGAACAGCATTTCCAGCTTTACATTTTTAACTGAGTATCTTAATCTGAGAGGTTTTTCATTGTTGCTATTTTTGGTCTGGTAAAAAGAGATATGCCTATTTGCCTATGATTTATAAGATTCCTGATATCTAAGGATCCAGTTAAAATCCATATGGCTAGCAATTTTGAGTTCTGCGAGGCGATGGTTTTCTTAGCCTATTTCAGACAGATTTTTCCAGTTGGGGATGCACTCCCAGGTCCCAGGAAGACACCGACGAGAAGCCAGTCGTTGTGGCTTGTTGCTGACCCGCTCAGATAAGGTCCTTCACGGAGCCATGATCCCAGTTCATCCGCAGAGAAGAAAATGGGGGAGCGTTGAATCACAAAGACACAAGGATTGTGTCATTGGAAAATGTACACTCAAGGCAGTTAAGGAAATGATTGTATTTGCTGATTTTTCAAAGAATGCTAATATATATATATATATATATATGCACATGTACACATACACATACACATACACACACCACAACAGAGAGAAATGTGTTTGATCCCCCTCAGAACCGGTGCACTAGCTAGAGAGGAAACCAGCAGCTGGACTCACCGTTAGTGGAAGTAGCTTTGAGCAGAACCTGTGAAGAGTGGTAAGAAGCAGGGAAAACAGCACACCCAAATCAGCTCTCATATGCTAAGTTTTCCTTGCAAACTAAATGTGGCATTTGCACAAAACATTGTAATCCTTGTCATCAGTTGGGTACTAACAAAATGTAAAAATTTTGTTTATACTTCATTCCATCTATTCATCCATCTGTCTATCATCCACCCTTTTTTTTTTTTTTTTTTTTTTTTTTTTTGAGATGGAGTCTTGCTCTGTCACACAGGCTGGAGTGCAGGGGTGTGATCTCAGCTCACTGCAACCTCCACCTCCCAGGTTCAAGGGATTCCCCTACCTCAGCCTCCCAAGTAGCTGGGATTACAGGCACCCACCACCATGCCCGGCTATTTTTTGTATTTTTAGTAGAGATGGGGTTTCACCATGTTGGCCAGGCTGGTCTCGAACTCCTGACCTCAGGTGATCTGCCCGCCTCGGCCTTTCAACGTGCTAGGATCACAGGTGTGAGCCACCGTGCCCGGCTAATCCACTCATTTTCTGTAAGAATATTGTAGACATTTTGCCCCTCGTTGTCCAGGGACCTGGACTGCCCGTCTTGTCTCCTTAGTACAGAAATAGTGTCATCTAGCGGCCTTTAACTGCAGCCCAGCTCCCCCACCTGCTTCCTGGAGCCATGGCTGGTCAACTGTTCTATTGGGATGCAGTGGCTCGGGTACCCATCACTCCATCATGTGGCAGCTGCTGTTCACAGAAAATACACTTAAAAAATGAGTGACCACCTTCCCTATGTAGAGTGGTTCTCTGCCAGGACAGCTGTTTGAAATTGGCAGTTACACACATGGGTCCATTTTATACAATACTTGAGTAGCTGGAATTGAAAATAGTTGTAGGAAGATTATATTTTAGACCATTTCATCATAATTCCATTTTTCTTTTCTGGGGCCTGAAAAGATGTCATAGCTGGCTTCGCCAATCTGCTTCATGATCACCGCTTTTGCCACTGAGAGGATATCGGGTACCAAACACTGTGGTGTGCACGCCCCTTGTGTGCAGATGTCATTTCTGAAAACAATTTGAGCACTTCTAAATTGTCCCCACATACTGGCCCATGTCCCGGAAGGGCTCCGATGTCTTGTGTAGGCAGGATTGCCAATCCTCATGCTGATTCCTGACTGCAGGGTTTATCGCAGAGATCGTGGGATGCCTGTGTGAGTGGATTATTAGGAGCCTTTCAGAGACTTGATTGTGCTTGAGCTTCCGTAAAGACCACTGGAGCCTCTGCCTTCCCTGTGGCTATTTCTAACTGCCCAGCCATCCAACGAGCAAACAGGGCCAGCAGCAAATTATCCCGTGGACATCTCATCCTACTGAAACATGACAAGACTGTTTTGAACCTTTCTGCCTAAAATATATTTGTGTTACCTTCAGAGTGAAAATCCTGCAATTTGACTTGCATAACATTGACATGACTCCAAAATAAAATAGCCTCCTTTCCTAGTAATTGAGTTAGCACTACAGTGTAAAAGTCAATAGAACAAATATTGCTAAGAAATGGAACTTTCCATTGATTTGTTCAGGAATAGACTCAACAAGTATGTACATACTACCTGGAGAAAAGCCATGCTTTGCTTTCAGAATCAAAACATTTTAGGGGAATAGTGTAGAATTAATCTTCAGTTTCTGAACTGGGCACCAGAGTATGCTGAAAACAACATTAAACATAAATTATAACTTTACATAAAAGAGTTTGGGAAGGAAACAGATGACGGATGAGTAACTATAATAATAATTATAACAGGATTTCTTTAATTTTCAGTCAGTATTATACCTCATTCGTCACTTATTAGCACCTAATTTTCTTGATTCAACTAATTGTTACTTTATGTACTCCTCAAACCATGCCACCAGTATTGATCTAACACCTCCCAGGCATAAGGCAATATCGTGCATTAATACACTGTGTTTTCACTTACCTCATTTCTGATTCTACTAAGGACAAAACACCTTCTTTATTTAATCTTTTCTGCTTAAAACGCAAAATAACCTTGAATGAGTTTTTCAAAGCTCCAAAATGAGGGAAATGCATTCGATTATGTTTTTATAAGGTCAATAATTTTAAATTTTTGATCAAAACTTCTTTTAATGCCATTTTGAATTATGGTTCCAAGTGTTTTGCTGGGTAAACAGCATATTACACAGCCAGACATTTCTACCATTTGATCCACTGACTTCATTACACCATGTTTTGAGTACACAAAACTAGGATGGTCTTAGTTGCATTTGCTGCACTGAGGAAAAGCTAAACTTTTTCTCTAAAAGGAAATGATAGCAAGGGAGACAAACATTGCACATTTTGAAGACTAACCAAAATAACTGTTGATACCATTATTGTATGAATGAAAACTGATTTGTAATCTAAGGCATGTGGATTGCATGCTAGTTCTGCCAGTCATCGGTTGTGTTATTTCGAGTCATTCTCACCATGGCTGGGTTTCTGTATATGCAAAATGAAAATAACTATTTTTGCTTACAGAATATAGGCCATGATTATATTAAATACATTACAGTGAAATTTGTGTATGTCAAGAACTATGTTAAAATATTTTGATTCTGTCTTACTGAAAATAATGAGTATTAATGACTCTAAAGAAAATGGTCTCAACGTTTAACTTACCCATCATCATGGGCAAAAATAGATCATGGGCAATTTGATCATATAGTCTTCCCGAGGGCCATCAGGAGTCCCTAGATGTTAGAAATTATAGCAACAACAGTCAAACCCCTTGAAACTGTATTTGGCACCCACTTTTTCCAGCTCTCAGCACTTGAAGTACCTGCAAGCTCCCGCCCTTTCCTATCTTTTGAGTGCTATACGGTATTACAGTCTTTTCAAATTGAGAATTGTATTATTTGTGTTTTGCAACTTCTGCAAGAAATAATGACTAAACATATTTCAATACTGAATACTAAAATTAATAGATCAGGTTTAAACATGATCTGGGGTTAGAGAACTTACTCATTTTGAAAACAGATGAATACATAAATCTCCAAACTATTGCTGGTTTAAATCTAATAGCTTTCTTCAGAGATCAGTAAAATTGCCATTCTTCTTCCACTCATCCCTCATCATTCCAATAAATGTTGTACTCTCTAATTAATTTTTGAAAACATCAATACTTAATGAGTTGCAGATTTTTTTAAATCAGGGACAATTTGGGAGGCCCATAAAGAGTGAAATGGGTTTCCTGTGTTTATGTTACACGTACTTGGAAGCAAAAAGTAATTACTTCAAATCAGACCATGGAGGAGAAGAAAGGAGGTGAAAAGAGATTACTAGCTAATTTTAATATTGATCTTAATAGGAATCTAAACAATGACAGAATGACAACAGTAATAATAATAACAATAATTCAGCAAAACAGGATTAAGTGTATCGTATAAAGGCCTTTGTGTAAGAGTGATTGGTAGAATAATAACACAAACTTCCATAATAACCAAAACATACTAAAAAAGGAGAAAAGAAACTCTTTAGTGAAAAAAAGGTGAACCCAGAGGACGTGAATATGTATAATATAATGACACTCAGAAATGATGTCAAACACATTGATTATATCAGTGAGTGCAGTCATGTGGGTAAATATCTACACACACAACTAAACAGCATAAGCTTACAGAGTCAGAGTTTCTAGGAGAGGTCAGGAGAAGCAGACATCCACATTCTCTAACAACATGGAAATTTCATCATCAAAATAGAGCTAGTGGACAAAATTTAATGAAGACGTATAAAATTTAAAGATCATTCACAAAATAAATTTTCAAGAATATTATATGCCAATCTCTGAGACACCCCCCCAAATAAGCTAAATATCCTTCTAGTGTTCATGGAACTTTTAAAAAAATCATATATTAAACCAGAAAAATTGTCTCAGAGAAGAAATTAAAAAAAAAACAGCATTCACATTTCTGGACCCCAGTGAGGTATGCATGAAGCTCCGAAGTTGCCACTCTGTCCTAACAACAAGGAGAAAATCGAACACACTGAAAATCCACAATGCTTCTCAGGTGCATAAGAGAAGCAAAGTCACAGGGCAAACTGCTGTGTCCAAAATGGAAGAGAGACAGGCAGGTGGGTACAGAGAACCACAGCTTCTCAGAGCGGAAACCTGCAGGGAGCCAGTGCAGGGGGAGGAAACCCAAACTGTCACTGAGGAACTGCTGCAGACTCCCAGTGGGCGAGTCTGAGAAAGAAAAACAGCAGGGAGACCCAGTTAACGGGGGCACATTTTTCTGTTTTACTTCTAAGAACTTGGCAGTTTCTCACAGTGACGATCAGAGAAGAATCTCCTTGTGCATCTCGAGGGCAGAGAGGAGAAGCAATTTTGAAATGCCCAGAGCGGCCATTCTTAGCAAGGTTTGCTCTCAGGAGAAACCAAAGCTAACCAGAGCTTGATGTGCTGGAGTTTAGGGATGCCTGGTGGTCCCGGGAGAAAGGAAACAATTCCATGGGCCACAGTGATCCTGCCCCACCTCTGGGGAGAAACCTGAGCAGTACTGGCAAAGCTTCCACTCCCAGGACACAGGCTTATCAAAGCTTTGGACCTGATCACAGGAGTGGGAAATGCTTTCCCTCCCCGACATCTTACCACTAATCTACTAAAGGCCAATTTACCCAGTGCATATGTCCAGCTCTCAGAGAAAAATCAAAAGGCATACAAACAGCAACAATCACAACAACAACAAAACACCGTTTGAAGAGATAGAGCAAGTGTTAACAGCAGACCCTAATATGGATGTCAGTATCATCAAACCATGAATTCAGAGAAGCAGTGATTAATATGCTGAGAGTTCTTTTTTTTTTTTTTGAGATGGAGTCTCACTCTGTCACTCAGGCTAGAGAGCAGTGGCTCAATCTCGGCTCACTGCAAGTTCTGCCTCCTGGATTCACGCCATTTTTCCTGCCTCAGCCTCCTGAGTAGCTGGGACTACAGGTTCCTGCCAACACACCCAGCTAATTTTTTGTATTTTTTTTTAGTAGAGACGGGGTTTCACTGTCTTAGCCAGGATGGTCTCGATCTCCTGACCTTGTGATCCACCCACCTCAGCCTCCCAAAGTGCTGGGATTACAGGTGTGAGCCACTGCGCCTGGCCACG